CTCTCAAATAAATAAATAAAATCTTTAAAAAAATACAATTATAAGACATACTACGAACAACTATATTCCAGCAAATTAGATAATCTGGAAGAAATGGATGCATTCCTAGGGATGTATCAACTACGAAAACTGAACCAGGAAGAAATTGAAAACCTGAACAGACCTATAACCACCAAGGAAATTGAAGTAGTCATCAAAAATCTCCCAAAAAACAAAAGCCCAGGGCCAGAGGGCTTTCCAGGGGAATTCTACCAAACATTTAAAGAAGAATTAATACCTGTTCTTCTGAAACTGTTCCAAAACAGAAATGGAAGGAAAACTTCCAAACTCGTTTTATGAAGCCACCATTACCTTGATCCCAAAACCAAAGATCCCATCAAAAAGGAGAATTACAGACCAATATCCTTGATGAACATGGATGCAAAAACTCTCACCAAAATACTAGCCAATAGGATCCAACAGTACATTCAAAGGATTATTCACCATGATCAAGTGGGCTGCAAGGTTGGTTCAACATCCGCAAATCAATCAATGTGATACAATACATTAACAAAAGAAAGAACAAGAATCATATGATCCTCTCAACAGATGCAGAAAAAGCATTTGACAAAGTACAGCATCCTTTCTAGATCAAAACTCTTCAGAGTATAGAGATAGAGGGTACATACCTCAGTATCATAAAAGCCATCTATGAAAAACCTACAGCAAATATCATTCTCAATGGGGAAAACCTGAGAGCTTTCCCCCTAAGGTCAGGAAAGTGGCAGGGATGTCCACTATCACCACTGCTATTCATCATAGTATTAGAAGTCCTAGCCACAGCAATCAGACAACAAAAAGAAATCAAAGGCATCTAAATCGGCAAAGAGGAAGTCAAACTCTCACTCTTTGCCGATGATATGATACTTTACATGGAAAACCCAAAAGACTCCCCAAAACTGCTAGAACTCATACAGGAATTCAGTCAAGTGGCAGGATATAAAATCAATGCACAGAAATCAGTGGCATTCCTATACACCAACAACAAGACAAAGAAAAGAGAAATTAAGGAGTCAATCCCATTTACAATTGCACCCAAAACCATAAGATACCTAGGAATAAATCTAACCAAAGAGGCAAAGGATCTGTACTCAGAAAACTATAAAATACTCATGAAAGAAATTGAAGAAGACACAAAGAAATGGAAAAACGTTCCATGGTCATGGGTTGGAAGAACAAATATTGTAAAGATGTCAATGCTTCCTAGAGCAATCTACACATTCAATGTAATCCCCATCAAAATACCATCCACTTTTTTCAAAGAAATGGAACAGATAATCCTAAAATTTGTATGGAACCAGAAAAGACGCCGAATAGCCAAGGGAATGTTGAAAAAGAAAAGCAAAGCTGGTGGCATCACAATTCCGGACTTCCAGCTCTATTACAAAGCTGTCATCATCAAGACAGTATGGTACTGGCACAAAAACAGACACAGAGATCAATGGAACAGACTAGAGAGCCCAGAAATGGACCCCCAACTGTATGGTCAACTGATCTTTGGCAAAGCAGGAATGAATGTCGAATGGAAAGAAAGACAGTCTCTTCAACAAATGGTGTTGGGAAAACTGGACAGCCACATGCAGAAGAATGAAACTGGACCATTTCCTTATACCAGACACAAAAATAGACTCCAAATGGTTGAAAGACCTAAATGTGAGACAGGAGTCCATCAACATCTAAAGAAGAATATAGGTAGCAACCTCTTTGACCTCAGCCGTGGCAACATCTTCCTAGAAACATCGCCAAAGGCATGGGAAGCAAAAGGACAAAAATGAACTATTGGGACTTCATAAAGATAAAAAGCTTTTGAACAGCAAAAGAAACAGTCCACAAAACCAAAAGACAACTGACAGATGCGAGAAGATATCTGCAAATGACATATCAGATAAAGGGCTAGGATCCAAAATCTATAAAGAACTTATCCAACTCAACACCCAAAGAACAAATAATGCAATCAAGAAATGGGCAAAAGACACGAACAGGCATTTTTCCAAAGAAGACATCCAAATGGCCAACAGACACATGAAAAAGTGCTCACCATCACTTGGCATCAGGGAAATCCAAATCAAAACCTCAATAAGATACCACCTCACACCAGTCAGAATGGCTAAAATGAACAAGTCAGGAAACGACAGATATTGGCGGGCATGCGGAGAAAGGGGAACCCTTCTACACTGTTGGTGGGAATGCAAGCTGTGCAACCATTCTGGAAAACAGTATGGAGTTTCCTCAAAAAGTTGAAAATAGAGCTGCCCTACGCCCCAGCAATTGTACTACTGGGTATTTACCACAAAGATACAAATGTAGGGATCCGAAGGGGTATATGCACCCCAGTGTTTATGGCAGCAATGTCCACTATAGCCAAACTGTGGAAACAGTCAAGATGTCCATCGACACATGAATGGATAAAGGAGAGGTGGTATATATATACAATGGAATATTATGCAGCCATAAAACAATGAGATCTTGCCATTTGCAATGACGTGGATGGAACTGGATGGTGTTATGCTGAGTGAAATAAGTCAATCAGAGAAAGACATGTATCATATGACCTCACTGATATGAGGAATTCTTAATCTCAGGAAACAAACTGAGGGTTGCTGGAGTGGTAGGGGGTGGGAGGGATGGGGTGGCTGGGTGATAGACATTGGGTAGGGTATGTGCTATGGTGGGCACTGTGAATCGTGCAAGACTGTTGAATCATAGATCTGTACCTCTGAAACAAATAATGAAATATATGTTAAGAAAAATAAAAGGAGTAGATAGCAGGAGGGGAAGAATGAACGGGCGGAAATTGGAGGGGAAGACAAACCATGAGAGACGATGGACTCTGAAAAACAAACTGAGGGATCTAGAGGGGAGGGGGATTGGAGGATCGGTTAGCCTGGTGATGGATATTAAGGAGGGCACGTTATGCATGGAGCACTGAGTATTATGCACAAACAACAAATCATGGAACACTACATCAAGAACTAATGATGTGGGGCGCCTGGGTGGCTCAGTCATTAAGCTTCTGCCTTTGGCTCAGGTCATGGTTCCAGTGTCCTGGGATCGAGCCCCGCATCAGGCTTCTTGCTTGGCAGGAAGCCTGCTTCTCCCTCTCCCACTCCCCCTACTTGTGTTCCCTCTCTCTCTGTCTCTGTCAAATAAATAAATAAAATCTTTAAAAAAAAATTAATGATGTATGGTGATTAACATAACAGTAAAAATTTAAAAAAAGCACATGTAGAAAACAAATAAAAAGAAAATTAAAAATTACCTAGGATCCTAACACATAATCAATGCAAATGTTTTGTTCTCTGTGTCCATGTAAAGCTCATTTCTCTATGTGTATTTTTTTTAAGATTTTATTTATTTATTTGAGAGAGAAAGATAGTGATAGCGAGAGAAAGCATGAGTGGGGAGGAGAGGGAGAAGCAGGGAGCCCAATGCGCAGTTTGATATTGGGACCTTGGGATCATGACCTGAGCCAAAGGCAGAGAGTTAACTGACTGAGCCACCCCTCTATGTCAATTTTTGATATAAATCATACTATGCCTAGTATTTGTCATTAACCCTTATACGTAAAAATCTATTATAAGGAAGTTTTCCATATAAATAGATGTATGAGTATAATATTTTCATATATAGCATACTGCCTAATTTAGAAGAATTTCATTAAATATTTGTTGAATGGTTTAATCTTATAGGCATTTAAAATTCCATAAACAACATTATTTAACAAGTTCATCCATAGTTAAGACACTTAGGTTTAGTTTTTGTTACCCACTCAACTCTTCCATTGTTCTGTATTCTCAGTAAAAAACTGGGGTATTCTCTGGAATCATCAATGATCCTGTGGAGATTAGGTTGTAAATATCTGAGGACATTGATTTGCACTATTATGCTATTTTATTTCTCATGTGTTTGCATGGGAATGGGGTCACTAATATGTTCTGAGATTCTTTATAATTATCCCTTTGAGTGATTTTTTTTTTTTTTTATACAGCCCAAATTGTCTGGAAATAATACCTATCTGCTGGTTTTTATTTTATTTTTTACATTCGTATAGACAGTTTTTATAACTCACATATGATAAGTATTATCTTCTAAGACAGAATATTCCAAACTGAAGGAAATAATTATTTGGATTGTATATTAAGTATAAATACTAGCTTCCCTCCCTTCTAAAAAATTATGATACTGTAACCCTGGATTGTTGTCCAAGAATCAGCATATTTAAGAACCTCGCCAGGCAGATATAGGTTTGTTACATGTCTTCATCATTACCACAGCCCATGAGGTAGTTGTGGGTTTTGGAGGCAACAGTTTGGTAGACGGGAGGAACATGATTTTCAAGATGTTTTGAACTTCTCAGAGCAAGACCTAGTGTTGGCCATTTTTTCTGCCATTTTCAGGCTGAAAGATACAAATCACACTCTCCAGTTGCTTTTAAAAAGCACCTGTAAGAATGAGTATAAACACAGGAAGTCATAAAGGGCAACAAAGAAGCAAGTTTGCTATTGGAGGCTTTAGGAATTCTTTATGTACTAAGCAAAATTTTTAAAAAATTGGAAATTTCCTTTTGATTTTTCAATGGACCCAGTTATCCTTTTCACCAGTGGCAACTGTTCTTTGTCTCAGGGAAAGAAAAATACAGAAGAGTATAATTAAATATTTGACTTCTGTATTTCTTAAGCTTAACACCTAAGGTTACACAATTGATTGGAAACTATATGTACTCTATCCGACACAAGGCATCCTCACCCTTGACCCTAGGCTAGCTAAAAATTACATAGCCTGAAGGAAGAGAGAGAGTAATAACAGAACACAGCTGATTAAATACTGTTAGACAAACCTGAGAATATACTGTGGTCTCTTCTGCACTAATATCCTGCTGGGAATTGGTGGGAAATAGAAAATCCAGATCGACTTAGGATACCTCAGAGTTAGAGGGGCGAGTTGCTCAACTTCTCTGTGGAGTTCCTGGCAGCCACTGTATGGAAAGGATGGCGATGCTGGCAGGTGGGTTTGGCATAGCCTTGAAGGTCCAGTGTAATTGTATGTCTCCTGTGGTCCAAGAGTGGTGAGGAAGTAGCTAAAAAGAGTGAAACATGGTGATGACCTGTTAGAGCATGCAATGTGCTGTAGTTACCTGCATCAACAATAATGATAAGGCAGTTGAAAGTGAGGCTGTTTCAGGGTGTACATCTTACATTAATGATGACCATGAACGAAGCTAGGGACTTCCTCCCTAAACAACCCACCAATCCAATGCTGCAATCCTCTATAAGCCCCTATAAATGTAGTAAGATCCTTGAACAGAAAGAAGAAAGACCTTTAAATAAATGAAATTTTCTTGAATTATTTGTAGTAAATTTTTCCCAGTGGGAAGAATGAGAGATTTAAATAAAAAACTGTTCCATTATAGAGACATCAGGGAAAGTTATATTTCTCCAAACTGCCAGAACTATACTTAGTTATCATATTAAGTTCTCCTGGGTGGAAAACAGGTGTTCCTATATGCTAAAGAAATCTGAAAGGAGAGTGAAGGAGAGGATTTCAGATTTAGAATGAAGATTTTATGTTTTGAACTGGCCAATTCTTTCTGTGGAGCTTGCCACATTTTAAAGTTGGAAAAGGAAGAGTTTGTGTGGAATGAGACACCCAGGTAATTCTGAGCTTCTAGTATATACTCCCTCAAGTTACCATACTGCTATTTCCTAAGAATGAAGTGGTATTTAAAAGTAAAAAAGTAAATAAATGTTAAAGAACACACAAATGTGGGATATAGTGTGCATTACATTTTGCTGGATGAACATCAGAAGTTTTATTTATTCATTTACATATTTTGATTAAGAACTTACCAAATACAATGCAGTAAAGCAAAACAGAGTCCTAGAGAAGTGAGCAGAAGGTAGGGTTACCCTCCTCTACTGCTGCTTTTGCTCTTCGCCCTGGGGAAGGTGTTAAGGATAGAAGGCATCTGCTAATATGCAAATATGGTCTAAGAAAGGTAACCTATTGTGTCACTCACTGTCAGCTTAATTCCCAAATTAGGTAGGTAAATCTCTTCTAAGAAATGACTTACACGCATATTTTTTTTACATCAGAAAAGGGGAAAATTTTAAAGCACTCAGTATTTTCAGGTGGAGCAAGTCAAGGACACGTGCTATGGCAAAAAAATCTGTTACATTGGTAAAGGACTCTGGGGCTTCTGGGATTTGGGGGCGGGGACAGGATGAGCACGTGTGTTGTAGTATGGTCCAGGCAGAAAGATGGCATAAAATGGGCAAAGGCAGAGAACTAAAGGCAAGCTACTTAAGAGATGCAATCTGGATAAAAGTGCATGTAGGTGCTTTATGTGTCTATCAAAACATAGCTGTATGAGTGTGAGAATATTTTATCTAAAATAGTATGCTTTTGGTCTGATGTGCTCCTTTTCTATTATCTATCTATCATCTATCTATCTATCTACCATCTTCTTCGCTCCCTCCCTCCCTCCCTCCCTCTCTGTCATGGTCATCTTCTTCTCCCCCCTCCTCTTCCTTCTTCTTCTCCTCTCTTTCCCTCTCTCTCTCTTTTTCCCCTACAGTTTTGGTTTATTGACAGTTGCTGTTTTTATACAGTTATTCTATTTCTTTAAACTTACCTCTCAAATGCCTTTCTCTTTCTATCTTAATTCATGGGTACTTATTTTCAATTTATATGTTTTGATTTTCCCCTTTCTCTCTTGGAGTATCTTTATGCAGTTAGTCATTTTTAGCTAGACTAAGAGCCTTGTAAATACAACTTCGTGTACATGTGTGAGTACTCATTTAGGTTAACTTCCTAGCAGGGAGAAAGTTTCCAAGGACAGGTATGGTTTAGATTTTTTATACATATTATCAGACTGCTTCCATAAACAATTTATACTCCTATTGAAACTTTATGCTCTCATGGAGGGACACATTGGTGTGGGACTTCAGAACCCAAGCAGAATGAGAATGGTGTCATATAGTTTAAAACTTAGAACAGGGTGTCAGAGCTTTAACAGGCACCTACCCAGGAAAATGGATGGCAATGCAAATAGACATAGGCTACATATAGACTATTAATCAAATATATAAATTTATTAAATAAAATTGTAGGTATGTTTCTCACCGCCAACAATAGTAGTTATAAATACAGAAAAGAAGAAAATCAGAATAAACTGTAGTGTTAGATTCAAATTAGAGGTGAACTCATGGTTTTTCAACAGAGAGATGGACGGATGGATAAATAGATAATAAACTAATGCATATGTAAATCAATGCATATATTCCCGAGTTCTAGTCACTGTGATCTTGAGAAACAATTGCTAACCTAAAGCAGTGAACCCATGTAGTACACAGATATTTGTTTCTGTGTACCATTTTCTATATAAGAAAAAAAAGTACATTGCAGAAATAGCTGCTATTAAGGCTGGGGAAGGGAATATGAGCCTAGAATATCTATAGCTGTGGGAAGAAAATGCTTAAAAAATGATAAAATATCCCAAAAGAATAGAAAAACTAGGTTAGATGAACTCCCACTGACCAAATCTGGATAATTTGAGAATCAAAGAAATAATGACAGTATAGATTATAATCCAACAAATAAATCAGGGAACCATGAGATGACAAAGATTGGAAAAATAAATGAATGATCTGAAATTCTTTTTAAGGAATGGGATATTTACATAGTTTCAAAATACCTTCCCACAAAATACCTATAATCACAAAGGGAAAAACAGTTACCTTATAGTACACAAGACTGGAACACACCATCTTAAATTATTAAACACTATCAATAATGGGGCAAATGGAAATACTTTGCCATTTGACAGGATCCAATGAGAAGCATACAGTATCATTTCTGTGATATTCCTGCCAAAGATGCAGTTCTGAATCTAGTCATAAGGCAATGTCAGACAAACCAAACTTGAGAAATATTCTTAAAAAAAAAAAAGCCTGTAATCTATAAAAATATCAATCTCATGAAATTTAAGGAACTGTTCCAGACTAGAAGAGAGGAGAGAGACATTACAACTAAATGTAACATGTAATTCTGAATCAGATACTTTTGCTGTAAAAGATGTTTTTGGGACAATTGCCAAGACCTGAGTAGAGTCTGATAATTAAATGATAGCAACATCCTCAGGTATACCTTCTGGTTTTGATTGTTTCATTGTGGTTATAAGATGACTGCCCTTGCTTATAAAAACTACCCACCACACTACCTGGGAATGATAGACCAGAAAGGATTAAAAAAATATTATTTATACTGTACTTCTAATTTTTCCATTCATTTATGATTCTTTTAGAGAAAAAGAGATTATTTAAATCATAATTATTTAAAAACCAATACCAACAAAAATATAGCAAGCAATAGGAAAAAATAGAGCAATAATTCATGATTTTAACAGTTTCATATCATTTCTATAGATTTCTTGCTATATTCAGTACACACTACAAACTATCCTACTCCGTTCTCACCTTAATCCACATAGGGTTAAAGTCATATGGTCACTTTCTCACAACTTTTTGATATGATGCTTTCATCTTCTTATTTCCCAGGATTTGTATTAGCGAAATGTCTTCTTGTTCTAAAAAGCAGAATATGAACAGGAAAACATTCTCTAATATGAGAGGAAAAAGCTTTTGAAGTGATCTCTTCTGGAAGTTTTATGTTCACTGATATCCTTTAGCTTTCCCCAAATGCCCATAAGCCAGAGATTTCATGTGTTATTTCTGTAATTTGGTAGTTTTCATTCAAATTATGCATTAAAAATGAATATCCATCTTAAAACAATTGGCATGGTTAATTATCTACTAAATTTTTCATTTCACAAAAGGCAGTGCTTTATGCCATACATTTACACGGTTAGGGGACTTTTAAGTCAGAAAGACACATTTATGTTAAGTCAGGAATCAAGCTAAAAATTCCTCTAATCTCACATTCCTACTTTAGATTCACAGTTTTTTCTCTAGATTTTATTTTAAAATCTACATTTCAATCACAACTATATTTTCAAGAAATTAAATATAGAAAATTAATACCATTCACACTGAAGAAATGTGTAATTAATGACATAAAAATTAAGATATGCTAATTAAATCTAAATGCAGATATTAACATACCAAATTACTGTTTTCATAAATGTTTAAATAAATGTTAATTCTTAGGAACTGAATACTTAAGATGAATATATTCCTGCAGCATTTTATTCTATAAGCTGATTACAAAATATCTGATAGAAAACAATGCACTAAATAAATACAAATAATAAAGCAGGTGTTTCTACGGCCAAATATGGAAATGTTTTTATCTTCACGGGTTATTTTTCAAATGTGTATGTGTATTCAGATGTAAAATAATTTGTGAAATAATCTGTGAGAATATATATCTTATTCGTTTCTAGGGTTGCGGGAATGAAGTGCCACAAATTAGACTACAGCCTTCTCCGCCACGCAGCTTGTTCTTTCTAAAATGGCGCCCCACACTCGGACAAACTTGTGGAGATGGGGCGGCCGTGCAAGTACCTACCGGAGCTGAGGGGAAGGTGAGCCAGGCCAGCGAGAGCGCTGCTCTAGCCTTCTGGCAGTGGGATGCCGCTGCCCGCCTTTCTTCTCCTTGTGGGACCCCTCCAGCGCCCCGTCCCTTCGGGTGGAGGGCCTGGCGCGACGCAAAACGACCTGGTCAGACCAGGCGTCACGAGGAGAGCAGGCTTGGCGGTGCGGGAAGCCCGAGTACCCCAGTGCCTTTCGGGTTCCCTCAGTGGGATTCCCGAGGGATGTGGCAGCCTCTGCCCAGCGTTGCATCTCCTGGCCTTTGGGCTACCCCAGGGCTCTGAGCCCTGACAGCTTTGTGCAGAGGAGGACTGTCTGCTCACCCCGACTCGGGTCTCCCAGAGTCCGACTGAGCCCCATGGGACGGTGCTCTCACGATGGGCTGCTTATCCCTCAAGGGTGGTGACAGGAGCACAGGGTGGCCCGTGCCTGACAGGAGAGGCCGCCGCTCCGGGAACGCGTGGCCCCAATGTGTTCAAGTCTCTGTGCAATGGGAAGATGGTGGGCCAGAGCAGTCTGGTGGCGATGTCGGAGGACATCAGGTCGCCCCTCCTGTGCCACTCGTCCCAACTGCTTGTTCGGAGTGTTGGTTTGCTTCTGCTAATTCAGATATGAACCCATTTTCCAGCACATTGTTGAGCTGATTTGAGTGGATGAAGTAGTAGGCCGTCAGTACAAATACCTTTCTGTCCCGGAAGTCGCTGCCTCATAATCCCTTCTTAACTCAAGATTTCATTTTCTTGGTTTCCCAAAGGAGATGAGTTGTTTCTTGCTGCTGCCTAGTCCAGGTAACAATAAATGTACGTGTGAGTAAACGAATGGCTGTAAGAGAAAAGGAATGCAAGTTTTGGGTATAGTGCTTTTCGGACAAGTGTTTCTGCCTAGTTAGTGCTTAGGTGCCTGACAGTGTTTAGGCGGTTAGTGCTCATGCCTGTTTTACTTGTTGGGTTAATTTTGATTTGCTGTGTGGTAAGTGGGTAAACTGTTGATAGTTTTGAGGGTTTTTTTTTTTTTTCCTTTAATCTTTTATCTTTGTAAATTCTTTCTCTTAAGGAAGATACTACTCTTTTTTTCTTTGGCTCTCTTGGTACAGGAATTGAGATTTAACATCAGTCAACAAGCACGCAAAAATGTTTAAGGTCACACCACCTCCCATGGATGTAACTCAGTTGTACTTACATGCTAATTATATGTGCTATATGATGGGGGAGTCATTCTTGTGCACTTTTCCCATTTTAATAGGATAATTTGATTAAAATGAGGACAAAGCCAAACAAAACAAAACACAAAGTGCTGCAAACTGGGTGCTTAAAACAACAGAAATGTATTGTCTCACAGTTCCGAGGCTGTAAGTCTGAAATCAAGGTCCTGGCAGGACCATGCTCCTTTGAAGGCTCCAGGGAAGGATCCTGCCTGGCCCCTTTCTATCTTCTGGTAGTTACTAGCAAGCTTTGTTTTCTCTTGTCTTGTAGATTCATCACTTCAATCAGTGCCTCTGCTGTTACATGATGTTCTCCTTGTGTGCATGTCTCTGTTTTAAATTTTCCTCTTCTTTATTTTATTTTATTTTATTTATTTGACAGAGAGCAACACAGCGAGAGAGGGAACACAAGCAGGAGGAGTGGGAGAGGGAGAAGCAGACTCGACGCTGAGCAGGGAGCCCGATGCGGGGCTCGATCCCAGGACGCTGGGAGCATGACCTGAGCGGAAGGCAGGCCCTTAATGACTGAGCCACCCAGGCGCCCCACAAATTTTCCTCTTCTTATAAGGATACCAGTCATTGGATTAGGGCCCACCCTAATTTAATATGACCTCTTTTTAACTTGATTACATCTTTCCACATAAGATCCAATTTCCAATAAGGTGACATTCTGTGATTCCAGGTTGACATACATTTTTGGGGTGGGTATAGGGACACCATTCAACCCAATACAGATGGTAAACATTTCTTCCGTATTTCAATTATAATTATTACGTAATAAAATTATATGAGCAAGCATATATATGTATACATATAAAATGAAAATTAATAATGTATAGTGAAAACAAAACATTCACCTTAAAATTTATATTAAAAACCTTGATTAAACTATTTTTACAGTTTCTGAAGCTGTGTCATGAATGTGTCTGGTATAATGGAACAAGCCCAGGCTTTGTGATTAGAGATGAAGTTGCCAAATTACTTTGTGATCTCAGGAAAGTTACTAAACATCTCCCACACTTTGTTTCATCATCTGTTTATACAGTATAAAATCACTGGACAACTTAAAGCAAAAAAACTAAGTAGATCATCTACTTTTAAATTGTTAGATTAGATTTTTCTTTTGTATCCAATTTTGAGAATTAGGTACACAATACACGTACCTAATGTATTTATTATTCTCCCTACCTCTCTTTCCCTAAAGTAGGAATGTATTTTTTTAGATAATTAATTTACGGCTCTGACAATTATAAGAATCAAATTTTTATGTATGACCCTACTAGTCTGCCCCGATAATAGCAGTTAATTCAGGCCTTATTTAAAAACAAATTTAATATAGAGTTCAGGTATGACATGTTCAGAAGAGTGTTAGAACTACAGTGACTATGATTTGTTAGCTACATGATCTTAGATAATGTGAGATCCCTATGTGAGCCCCAGTTTTTCTATGTAAAATAAGGATGATATTACTGGGTTGTGAAGTGGTACAGATTAAATGCTCAGGTGAAGGTGGATAGCACATGTAACAAACAGAAGATTATTGCTTGGAGACATTATGATTCCTTCAAGTGTGTCCTCATTTAGAGGACAGGTTAGAATAATAATATCATTTATATACACTATAACATATACTGCATTATCTCAGATTCTCTTGCAGCTTGGGTTCCATGTGTGACTTAAATTCAGCCAACCAGGGCATTTATCTGAAATTTGAAAGATAGACTTGAGGTGATATCACACTTTTATGCTTTCTCCTAGTAAACAAGGTCTTAATAGTGTGTATGAGTGTGTGTGTGTGCCTTTTTAGGATCGCTAGCTTTGTTGATTGAGTACTTAATGAAGCCAACTATTTGCCAGGTTCTGGTAGGTGCTAGATGTTGGTACATCTCTCTTATATGGTGACAGGACTGTTCAAACTTAGGGTGATAAATGATGACAGAAAAACACTGAGTTCTTTGGGAGCACAGAGAAGAAATAGCAAATTTTTTAAATTGCAATTTAAAAAATCAATAAACCGTGTCTTCAAAATCAAATAAACTCATTTTGGGACACCAACAAGAATGTGTTAATAATGTGTTATATAGTGTTACTATATAGTGTTTAAAACTATAAAATTAACTCTAAAATCTAGTGCCATTTATTAAAAAGAACTAAAATGTTTTAGAAATAATTGTGAAGTCAGTTAACTTATTTTGTTATCAACATTAATGATTTTCAGATTATACAATTAAGATCTTTAAATCTGGTGATATCAGTCATTTTGAGGGAGCTATAGTTCATTTGCAAGTGGATTAATTTCTGAATATGGATTTTAGCTTATTAATGAATCGCCTTTTACCCACTTTAAAATCCTCAGCCCAAATGATTAGCTATAGTCCACTTATACAATTAATATACTTTTTCATTTTATAAATGAAAAATATATAAGGAAAAACAAAAGTACATTTTTAATGGACAATTTAAACAGATAATAATGGAAAGATATAGTTTGAATATTTCTGCTATAATCTTATTACCTGGATGTATACAGATACATAAAATAGGCCATGTTAGTATATAAGGAATGACTTAGATTTATTGAGTTATTATTATGTATCAGTATGTGTGATAGGTGTTATCTATAAACATGAAAACATAACAATTGTGTAGTTATTTTCTGAGGTAGGGGTTCAGTTCCCTCATATGTAAAAAGGAAAAGTGTAATACTAGCTTCTCATGGAGATCTTTTGGAAAAAAGAAGATTAATTATCTGAGCTCACACCATGGGTAACTGGTAGATGATTTGAAGATAGTACAGGGTTTGAGCTCTAAGTAAATTAATATCACCATTAAAACATCTAGGTAACACAATGATTGATCAAAGTCAATCTAAACGTCTATACATTGGGTTGAAAAATGTCTATAGGCAATCAGCATCTATTGCCACCTACTTTTATACTCTCTGTAGATCTCGCAGTCCTAAAGCCTAAAATCTATATTTTCCAGACTCCCTGGTTGTGACAGGGGTAAATGAGCTTTAGTTTCTGCCAGCGTGATGCACTGACATGAACTTTGGAAAGCAGAGGAAGTACAGAGGACCTTCCTCTGGCAGCAATGGAAATTGATTTGCATACTCCAACAGACAGGAGTTTTTGTAGAGGTGGAGCATAGATACCACTACCTAGTTACATCCAGGCTTTGAGACAGCCAAAATAGCAGTGGGTGTTTCTTGTATCTTCCTGAGCACTGGGGGAGAAGGGGACAGCAGCCACTTCCTGGTCTCAGGACTGGATGTTCTATGATGCTGTGATGCTACCAGCACACCTCTACTTTCTCAGCCCTTCTGATGATCATCAACCCTAATTTCTTATATCTCTTACTGCACAAAATATCTTTTTTTTTCTGTATTGGAATATCTTTTTTTTCCTATATTGAACCCTTAATGATACATGTATATTTTGAAAAATAAATATTTAAATGGTTGCTAGAACTGACTAAATATTTTAGTATCATGTACTCATTTCATCATGACTCTCCCCTCGTATATTTGTGATAACATGTTTAAATCTTGTTCAATATCAGAATTTTACTATTATAATTTTTTGTAATTATAGTATAAGAAAATATAGTAAAACTATATACATATGTGAAGCCCAAATTGACTATAAAATTAATGTTCATAGCATGATCCACCAATACCTATCACAAGTTCCAAGGGTAACTCTCAGCAACCTTCAAATAATTCCAAAAGGCAGTTTTCTCTTCTCAGTTCTCAAAGGTGAATAACAAACAACCTTTTATATATGACTATGTGTTAAGTTCTAGTAGTATACCAAGTGAGTTTTAGGGTTACTAAGATGTGGTATTCCTAAATCAATTTTTTAAAAAAATTCTGTATATTATGGAAAAGGCTGAATGACATGCAATACTTAT